AAGTTACAATAAGTTAATATATAATTATATATACAGTACCTAATTTATATATAATTAATATATAATTATATGTACAGTACCTAATTTATATATAATTTATATAATACTGTCCAGACGATAGAAATCTCTCCGTAGCGTGGTGCTACGGACGGCGGGAAAGTAGTTCGGCTTCCCGATGACGTTTGAGGTGTTTATAGGGAACTTTTACTATTTTTTACGGATACCGGTAGCAATTTTTTCGTAGTTTTATAGGAATCGTAACTATAAAACTACCGTAATTATAGGGACCGTAATTATAGGGGGGTCGACTGTAGTTAAGTGGAAAGATAAACAGGATGTCCTTATGTTGTCCACAAAACATATCACAAAACTTACTTCTACAAAAAAAAAAAGCAGAAAAAAAGAAAAAATTTTGAAACCTAAAATAGTTCAAGACTACAATACCAGAAAAACAGGCATTGATTTATCTGATCAATATTCCAGTTACTCCATTGCAGTGCAAAAGTCTATAAAATGGTATCACAAAGTTGCAATGGAACTAATTTTTGGTACTACCACTGTCAATGCACATGTTATCCACAATAAGATATCCAAAAATAAATTATCCATTACTACATTCAAAGAGTTTTTAGTGGAGAGCTTACTTAATATCAGTTAAATTAATTAAGAATCTATGGCTACAAACCCCAAAAAAAAAAACATAAACTGGAAGAAAGTTAAAGAAAACCAAAGAAATAGAAAATTAAGAAACTGTTGTGTAACCTGCTGTACTAAAAATCAGCAGTAATTGGAAAATCATGAAGCAGATAAAGCAAGTGTAACACCACAAGTTACTACATATTGCTCACAGTGCCCAGAAAAACCTGTAATGTGTGCAAGTTGTAAAAATTCATGAATGAATATTGCCTATAAATATGTGTAAGACCCCATTTAACACTGCCTCGCTTAATGCTGATTTAATATAATGTGGTCTGCTCAAAGCCTAAAAAAAAGCTCAAAATTTACATTGATTTAAATTATTGCGGCATTTCATTGATTCGTATATAATATGATTATTTATGAACATGATCTGATCAGCAAAAGGTGTATTTTCTTTAAATCTATGTTTGTTTGGTGCAATTTTGAAAAAAATATAACATCATTGATGCCATAGGCAATATTGACTTCACTTGGCAAGAATTAACTGATAAATGCATGAAGTGTAGAAGAAGTTATGGCTGAAGGTATCCAAGAATTCTCAATGAGAAGAGCCTATTGCTGTATCATTAGGTTGACCAAACTCAACCTAATCAATATAGCAGGACTAGGATATGTAGACGAGCAGGATATTGAGGAGTTACTGCAGATTTCTGGTGAGAGCCTTACCAACGACGACTTCAAGGACTGGCAGAACAAGGAACTCATGTAGAACTGGAAAATAGAGATTCTGAAAATGAAGTATCCAAAAAACTGGCTACAGATTTCCTTAGTAAAAGTTTGGTAACAATAACTAAAATCGTTAATCAAATTGTAGCGAATAATCCAGATTTTGAAAGGAGTGCAAAAGCAAAATGAGGCGCTTTGAATGCAATCTTCTACTACTGACATTTGCTTAAGGAAGGAAAAAGTGATAAATAAAACTTTATGACTTTATTGCAAAAAAACAAGAATTTCAGAAAGTCAGGACCTTCATCACAAAAAATGAACTTTACATTTCTGTGTGCATATGTTATTATGCAAATTAATATAAAAATAACTTAAAATTAAAGTAAAATCTGTTGATTTTTGGTCGCATGTTCCCCTTTCCCTATTTACTCTGTGTTAAAATGACCTCATTTAACGCTGTTTAATTTAGTTATCTAGGAACATATCCCATGTGTTAATCAAGGTCTTACTGTATAACTTTCATACTTATTAGTTACTTTCTTTTATTCTTTCAAATAATTATTCTTTTGCATAAGTTTACCTTGATTTCTGTTTTTCAATATTTTTAGCATGCTTCATGGTAGTGGAGTTAGGACTTTTGTCTGCCTGTCAATTTCCACACACATATGCAATGACTTCACTTTTTTTTTTGTTACCTAAGTGTTAATTATGTTCTGTTCAATCCATTCATTGCACATGGACATGTGCAATGAATGGATTGAACATGTCCATGTGCATGTGCAAAAGAGAACTGAACATTTTTGTTTATGGTCACTGTAAGTGTAATAAAAACTACTTGGTTAGTATATTGTATTAAATTAAATTTTCTAATGAATTTATTATTTATTATAATAATAATAATAATTATTATTATTATAATAAATAATAAATTCATTAGAAAATTTAATTTAATACAATATACTAACCAAGTAGTTTTTATTACACTTACAGTGACCATAATAATAATAATAATAATAATAATAACTCTCTCGTGGTCACCACCTGGTTGTGGTGGGAGAGCCCAGTAATTTTACTGAACCATAGGGCAACGCAGGCTGGAGCACAAGCTCCTGGTAGGGACACCCATGCCAGTAAGGTCTATGGGGAGAAATGAAGCTAAGAGTGACCACACACCCACATTATGTGCAGATAATTATCATGGTAGTAACCAGATCTAAGTATGATACCGGCTCGGACGTCGCCGGGTTAACAAGGTCTGCATTCGTGAATTAGGCAGAGGCTCACGTTCGAAAAATAGGCCGCAGTCTCACTTGGTTACCGGTGGCGAAAGCATGGCTACTGCAATGCCCTCAACAGATGTGAGGAACCAACCTAGCCTTGGTGTTTCTGTGGCAATGCATCCACAGACCACAAATACTGGAAAACCACGCCAACAGATGAAATGGACATCAGAAATGAACGAGTTTATCATCCGCACTTACTATGCAATCAAAAAACTCAAAACAAACATGACAGCATACAGACAACAACTATACCATAGATTCACACAACAATATCCTCACCTCACTGTCACCGAACAAAGGGTTGTTGATCAGAAGAGAACAATTATACACAACAACCTTATCCCACAAACAACACTTGAACTTATCAAACAACAGGTTGCTGATCAAATACATCAACAGACAGAAACATTTAACAATAATGTATATCACGTAACCTGTCAGAATAATCCAGCAACAAGCATTGATAATAGCACACATACAACAACTACAACTAATGATACTACAGGCACTTACTCATCCATCACTGATAACATAGACATAGAATTAGTTAATACTCTCTCACTTATATTTCAGGAAACACTCGCTAAATATACAGGCACAGATCCCACATAAAGACCACGAATACCAAAAATCAACACTTCAAAGGTAGTAGGGAAAACACTAAATTATGTAAACACTCACTTACTACCAAACTACATTCAGTCAATTTCTACATTCTCAGACATTCATACGTTAGTTTATGCCAAGGCAGTCACAGTAGTAACACACCATGGACTGAAAATACACTCACAGACAGACACACACAAAACACAATCCTATCACAAGCCTGCCTGGCAGAGAAGAATAGAAACACAAATAAATGACATTAGACAGCAATTAGGCAGGCTGACACAATACACTAAAAACAACATAACACCCAAATTAAAGAAACAACTCAAAAACATTTTCAAGAAAATCAAAACACACACATTACAGACTACATCGATACACTAAAACAAAAACTCGCAGCCAAAGCACGTAGAATCAAACGATACAAAACATGTACACTACGAAAACAACAAAATAAATTATTCACAAACAATGAAAAACTTTTCTACAGACAAATCAGTACCAAAACAAACACTNATAGTACACAGCCACCGGTGTGAACCGAGTATAACTCACAAAACCCAACATAATAATAATAATAATTATTATTATTATAATAAATTTATTTTTAAAAATATTTGATTTGTTTTTGTGGAGCGTGCTATCAGATAGGCTTGACCAGTCTTGTTACTTTTAAATATGTAATAAAATAAAAATAATAAGTTTTCTACATGATTTTTACTACTATAATTTTTTGCTATTGAAAACACATTTTCACAGCTAATAAATTTTTAAATTTAAAATAGGCCATTACTACAACCAGCCATTGTTATTAATCTATAAACATTTGTGGGAAGCCAACACTAATGTATAAAACAAATGAATGTAGAGTCACAATAATTTTAAGCTGCTGTAATTACATTTGATAATATGATAACTAGACATTGTATGGCTCATTCAGTCAGAAATATACAGTATATGACAACAGGTGCATCACATGACAGTTAATCTGTTAAATATCATATGGATTTTGCCAAATAGTGACAACTTCTCAGACTTGGTTATAACTTTCATTGTCAAATTTGCCAAAAAAACTAATACAAAAGTAAAAACAAAGGCTTTTAATTTAAAATAAACTACATTTGTAATTTCATAATAATTTAGTCCAGTATGATAAAGTTTCATCACACTGGGCTAAATTATTATAAAATTACAAATGTAGTTGAGAAGAGAGCCTATAAAGACAAGAACCAAGTAGAGAAAAATGTTAGTTTTGGGCTCTCTCTCTCTTTCTTTTTGGATAATGTGACCAAGTGATAGTGAATAAAGACTCTAAGGTCAAAAACCATGAGGCTTGGCCAAGAGATTGATAGGGTCCTACTGAAAGAAAGATAAAGAAATAAAGAAGTAGAAACTGGAAGTCTACACTAGTTAAAGGAAAAGATGTAAGATATCATTCCTGAAGAGATCTTCCTTGACTGCTACTACATGGCTATATGATCAATTAAGGTTAGATTTAAATTAGCATTTGGCTATAATTTTCAATTTATCTTGCAACTCAATTATAAAAAGCTTTTAGTTTGAATAATTAAAATGCATAGCTTTTTGCATGTTTATTATTATGAACAAATAACATTTTAATAGTAACATTTTAAAATTGTATGTTTTTCAATTTGTTTAACAAATTTATATAATATATAATTACAATAACCAGTATTTTAAAATAATTTCTTATTTTAAATTTAAATAAAAATTATTTATTACCTGTTTTGACCAGTTATGAATCTCAGAATATAAAGATGTTTTAAAATATAACTTTGGTACTTTTCTTTTACCATTAATTTCTTCAAACATTATTTGAAGATTTGGAACACTAATAGTCAATACTTCTTGTGATTTTGTAGATGGATATGATGGACGAATAATTTCACTTTCATTTCCTAATGTAAAATTTATTATTATTTAAAATAATAGCAAATATTAAGTATGTTACATATTAAATTCTTAAACATATATGAAATACTCCAAACAAATACAAAATCAATAATTTTTTGACACAACTGAACATCAGTAAATGAAACATTTTTTAATACAATAATAAGAATAATTTCCTTACAAATACAAATTCTTTATAGTATAATTATAAAATTAAAAAAAAAAAGAATATATTCTACAAACTATTTATGCAAGTACATTGAGAATGCTAGATTTTATAATTGGGCTATTTTAAAGCTGATTAGAAATTAATTTAAAACTTAGAGATAGTCAATAACATCATTTTGTAATTTAACAATAATCAATTCATAATTTTAAAACAAAAATTTTACAGCAGATGAGAAAATGTTCTTTGGCTTTATTTAAATCTGGGCTAAAATTTATTTAAAAATTTTATTCCTACTAACCTGTGTAAACCATCCATTTATTAGGTGTAATTACTTTTGGTGACCATAGATCCTGTAATTCCTTATATTCATGTTTACTTGTCATTTTTTCCTTGCTATCTTTATTCTAAATATTTGAAAAATTATTTCAAATAAGTACATAATATGTTTATTCATTAATTAATTAAAATAGAAACTAGAATAAATGTATTAAGATATCATAGTAATGGAATTTCTCTGCATTATTTTCTTCTTTAGCTTTTACATTTTTATATTCTTATTTTTCTATAAAAATTCAACTTGTTCCCACTCAGATGTGTATTTTTAAACTGCCTTTCAATGTTAATAGTTTTTTACACACATACCACACATACACATAAAATAACCATAAACTTGTTAAAAACAAATCATATATAATTTGCAAGTATTATCACTTTTTGAAAAAAATGTTCAAATTTATAATTTTTGAAAAAAACTGTTCATTATTTTGCATTTAAAGCATAATTTTCAGTCAGTGTTATGATTAGTTTTGTTAACTTACATAAAAATCTGTGCCACTTGAAACTCTCTTCCTAAGCTTCTTTCTGTTTTTGCAGATCTGTTAACCAGCCTCTTCTGCACCTCATTTGAGTGTGCTTATCTCTGCTCAGGTAGATTTGCTCACAGGGATCCACTTTGTTGAGTCCTGATGAAGTTCCTTAGCTTTCTTCAGAAGTCTGCTATTATTTTTTAAGGAGATCAGACTTCTGAAGTAATGTCTTGTGTAGTGCACAATGGAACTTTTACGGTTTTAGGCAATTGAGTTTTGTTTGGCCTACTGGCCCTCACATACACAATAACAATAAAGTATTTAATAGATATATATCTACTATCAAAATATATGCAAGTTACAACAAGTTTTAAATCAAAATATGCCATAAGTACTGAAAATTATCAATTAAATCTTGGAAGCAAGAGACAAATAATGGTGGAACTTTCGGTTGCTGGAGTTTGAGTTAGATTTGTATTATTGGCAGAATACAGATCAGGTGTCATAGATTAAACTCTAGTTCTGATTGACTATATGTGAAATTTTTCAATATTAAAAAATGAAAGAAAATACAAGCTGGAAAAATGTACAAATAAGAATCACATAAATAACCTTTGCTTTATTCTAGTAGTAGATTATAGTGTATTTTAATATTGCCTTTTCATGCTAATAGCTTTTACATTAAGAAAAATAATGCAAACATGTTAAAAACAAATTATATATATATATATATACCTAAGTACTTTAGATAACAATATAATTATTATCTTTAGGTACCTATATATTGGAATAAATATTGAAAAAATAATAATCATATAAACAAATAATGAACTTACTGGATAATGTATAACTAAAAACCCGACACCTTATTAATCCAGCAATATTTAATAAGATAATAATAACGTTTTCGACTGTTTTAAACAGCCTTCATCAGTTAAACTATTTCAAACTAAAAGAATGCTAAAAATAGAACACAAGCTTTTAAAAACTCAAATTCCAACGTAAAATGCAGTCGTATAACAAAAACGGCTTTGCAGCATGGTTATCGAACAAGAAAAATTGAAGGGCTTATTAATAAGTTTCAGAATCCAACAAAACGACAACTTCTGATTAGTAATGAAAAAAGAAAAGTAGTCCTTAATTATTTTCCTTTCTTGCACACATTGATGAAGAAAGTGGCCAACAACAATAACATAAGAATGCTATATCGGCGTAACCCTACGATATATAGATTATTAAGAAACGACAAGAAAAAAGAAAACCATAATACTAGAATGGGTGTGTATGCTATACCTTTAAAGGATTGCCGATTTAACTCGGATCTTTTATATGTTGGTGCAACTATGCGACATTTAATGCAGAGAATTAAAGAACATAAATACTCCATAACTAAGAACTTGGATAGCACTGTACTTGTGGCTTTCGCTAAACAACAGGAAGTCGACGTGCATTGGGACAAGGCCTCTATCATCAGGGCCACGAACAACAAGCAAGCGCTGAAGTATCTTGAGAAGTTGGAAATATACAAAGCCCACATTAACAAGGGCTGTATTAATCATAGGGATGCGGATTGTTTATCCACCACATGGAAATCATTTTACCATAGCGCATAATGGTAAACTTATAATAGGCATTATTGCGGCAAAAAATTTGATTATGTGTATTTTTATTTTATTTTTATTCCGATAAGAATCATATGCGCAATTTTTGTACGATTTTGTTATACGACTGTGTTTTACGTTGGAATTTGAGTTTTTAAAAGCTTGTGTTCTATTTTTAGCATTCTTTTAGTTTGAAATAGTTTGAAATAGTTTAACTGATGAAGGCTGTTTAAAACAGTCGAAAACGTTATTATTATCTTATTAAATATTGCTGGATTAATAAGGTGTTGGGTTTTTAGTTAATAATCATATATGTAACCTTTGCTTTATTCTAGTAGTAGATTACTTCACTTGCCTTTCGTCTTTTCTCAATGAATGACAACCCAGAACTCACCATGTGGAGATGGCTGTGTGAGAGACAAATGATAAATATTTTTGAACAGCTTGACTGCCTTGCTTTAGGTCAATTATATGTGTGTTCCAATGCTCATTTTATAGCTTTCTACATTCAAACCCAATTCAAAATTTCAATTATTTTATGAATAAAACACGCCTTTAATAATCCAGTATTAAATATCAGCAATTAAAATTGCTGGATTATTAAAGGTGTGTTTTATTTGTGTAGTTATCCAGTATGTACATTATAAGTATATTCAATTACAGTAGTACCTCAGGATACGAAATTAATCCGTTCCTAAACTGAGATCGTATCATGAAAATGTCATAAGGTGAATCATTTTTCCACATACTATTACATGTAAAACCAAATAATCCATTCCAACATGAAAAACACACTCAAATTAAAGCTAAGTAGTGCATTGAAAAAAAAAACTTTAGTAAGGAAAACACTGAAAAATGCATTTTGTAGTTGTAAATGTATAAATAACCATAATAGAATAATAATTGATTAAAAAAATGTAGTTTTATTTGCACTTTACCTTTCAGGATAGACAATGGTGAAAGTGTAAACTGGTGGTGGAGCAGAGGGAGAAGGGAAATGATATTAAAACTTAACTTACATAACATAATGTAACAATAACTTAAAAATAACTTAACACTAATTTTTTTTTATCTTTTCTGTTTTATATTTTTTTAAAAATTTTTTATTCACTGCTTTTTGCTTTCTTTCCTTCACTTCCACCAGCACTTTCACTGGATAGAGGTCGCTTGGTAAAATATCTATCCAAAGAGGTTTGGCTTTATGTACTTTTTAAAATGTTTTTAAAATGACTTAGGCAATGTCATTAAACTGAGCAGTAATATGACTAGTGTGAACCTTTTCAAGATGTTTCTTTTCAATAAAATCAGTCACTTTCTGATAATACCTCAAGATTTCCTTTATCGAGTGAGATCCTTCCACGACAAAGCAAATACACGGACTGAGACTAATGAACAGAAAGAACACGTGATCATGGCAGTTGCGCTGCGAACTAATTTAACATCATATGGCAAGGTTTTGTTCATACTGTGGAGCAAAAAATATGTTTGAATTTCTTGTCATATCCTGAAAATTTCATATGCTGAAGCGTTCATATCCTGAGGTACTACTGTATTTTTTAAATTTACACAATTTAAATACTAAACTAAACTTTACTACTAATATATACTATATAATTTTATATTAATACACCATTCTTCAATTGAGTTATTATAATAAACTTTTTTTCTTTAAATTATCATAAAAAGCTTTCCAAGCACTTGATAATAAATCTGCATCCCTTATATTAATGCAATCTTTTCTGAAGGCTGTTTTAAATATCTATAATATATCCAACCATTTAGCTCTTCTTTATTAAAACACTTTTTAATTAATGCTGCTTGTTCTATTTTAGCTTTAATACTTGTTTTGGAGGCACATATGGAAAGCAATGTTGTTTGTTTCCTTTTCTCAATATCATATCTGTGTTCTTTAATCCTGCTGTTAATTGATCTGTTTGTGGCTCCTATTTATATTAAATCCTTTCCAAATCTACCATCTGTTAATAGTATGCCATAAATTCCCAGCACCCTGTTCCAATTTATAGTTTGTTTATCATTTCACATTTGGTATACTGTGCTGCATCTTTTATATGCAAGATCTTTTCCCTCCAATATATGTAATTTCCTTATATATATATAGGTTCCAGTATCTTGTCATATTCCACAATTATGTTTTTAGACTCAGATAGAGTTTCATTTTTGCCATACAGTGGTATCATGTCATATTGTCATATATGTATATATTTTTTTGTTAAACATATCACAAGTTTTATTGAGTATCCATGTATTTTTGCTATTCTTTTTATGTGCTTAAGCTCTTTGATCATATCCTCAATATTGGTGCAATGGGTAAAGGCCCTCCTAACTAAGGATCTAAAAGCAGCTAATTTATATCTAAATGGATCATTTGAGTGTTCCAGAATAAAAAAAAAGGAATGTATTCTAGTTCATAATATAAGTAGATATGTATGCCCTCTTCTTTAATTTCAATTTTAATATTTAAAATATGAATATGAACTGTAGTGTTGCTATGTTGTTCAACTTTTAGGGTAAGACCACATGAATTCATGTTAATTCTATTTTAAAAAAATGTTTATATCTGGTATATTTCATCAAATAGTGATATCTTCTATGTCTCTATTATATTAACCAGGAATTAAAGCTAAAACAAAACAAGCAGCATTAATTAAACAGTGTTTTAATAAAGAAGAAACTAAATGGCTAGATATATTACAGATATTTAAAACAGCCTTCAGAAAAGATTGCATTAATATAAGGGATGCAGATTTATTATCAAGTGCTTGGAAAGCTTTTTATGATAATTTAAAGAAAAAAGTTTATTATAATAACTCAATTGAAGAATGGTGTATTAATATAAAATTATATAGTATATATTAGTTGTAAAGTTTAGTTCGGTATTTAAATTGTGTAAATTTCAAAAATAATTGAAATTTTGAATTGAGTTCGAATGTAGAATAAAATGAAAATGAGCTATAAAATGAGCATTCTAAATGGAAC